CTAAAAACACCACCATATATATGGTAGCTACACAAGTCAGTGCATTTCGCCTCTATATTTATCCTATATCAGTGTTTTGGTAGTTCGTCAAGTTTCAAAATAATCCGCCATAAAAGCTCTTCAATCAGATTGTGACTTTATCTGTGTAGTTTTTGTTTTGGATCTTTTGGTTCGATGTTAAAAATGTAGAACTTCTGCTTTGGTCCAGAGCAAAAGAACCAAACTACAAGCGTGATTTACCCCTAAAACGCAAAATATTCTCACGTTTTATCAATGAAGCAACCTGAAAGTGAGTTTCTGAGCAATTCTGACAAACTGCTGGGTGGGACTCAACCCTGATTGGTTCAACTCAGAGAAGAAGAATGCTGATTGGTTAATATTTTTGGGGGGAAAAAACAATGCTGGGTGGTTAAACGTGTTGAAGACTGATGTTAATCGGTTAAACTCGCAAAGCACAAATGCTGATTGGTCAAATTTGTAAAGGACGATTCCTGATTGGTTAAACTTGGAAAAGACAAATGCTGATTGGTTAAAATTTTGGAGGAAAAAAACAATGCTGATTGGTTAAACTCGTAAAGGAAAATTGCTAACTGATTAAACTTGGAGAAGACAGAAACTGATTTGTTAAACTCGGAAAAGAACAATGTTGATTGGTTAAACTCTGAGACGATAAATGCTGATTGGTTAAACTTGAAAACGATAAATGCTGATTGGCTAAACTCGGATGGGGAAGCACAATTATTTCCAACCTCTCGATGTGCTTGTGGAGTTGCTGTCTTCTCTCTAATGTCACCATCTTCAGTGTGAAATTCAATATTTACGCCAACACAACAAACCTCTGTTGTTCTGTTTACTTTGTGTTTATAAAACTGGAGTTCCGTCCAGTTTCTGCCGATCCTGTAAATGTTTGTTCCTGCAGTCAGAAGCCGCCTATAAGCAGCAGATCTCAGTGATACTGTCGCTGCTCAGCCTCCAAATTGCAGTTTTTGGACAGATTACCAGTGACTGTGTCCTTAAAGTGAAGTCCAGTGACCTGTCAGGAGCTCACGGAGTCAGAAGATGCACCAGGATTTGTTCTGGTCACTTCAGTGCATCAGTGCAGGTGGACTGAGCTCAGCAGATAAAGCCACGCCGTCTCCGCCAGTCCACACATCCACAAAGACGCTGTTTGACTTCACTCAGCGGTAATGAACTCCGTCTCCGTCTGCTGAGCCCGAGGCGCCGTCTGAGTGCTGGACTCGCCTCTGATTGGTCGCTGATGGAAGCCACCGAGTTAATTTTAGTGATTATCTGTCTTTGGGTCTCCGTGGAGACTGAAAGCTAAAAGCAGAGCGAAAAGTGGCTTTTTCTGACAAAACTCTTCTGCAGCTACAGACGAATCAAAGTTTTTGATTCTATCAGAGAAACTTTTAACAGATCTTGTGACTCCTTTGAGAGGTTTTTATTTACAGTTTTTTTGGAGGCGGCATGTGGACCAGATGGGATTTGGTTGTTTTTGCACTGATGTAGAGACAGAAAGTGTATAAGAAAAGAAAAAGAACACATATGTTTGACAATTTCTCACTCCAGTTGTCAACATACGTGTGTGAAGAAGAATTCACCCACCCTTAAAAGTTCACCCCTTTCTTTACTTTTCATCACTGAATCATGCTCAATTAATTTTTGTTTTTTTGACGATAATTTACAAAAGACTCTTTCATGTCAAAGTGAAAACAGATTCCAGCAAAGAAATGCTGCTCAGTTAATGATATCATACATAAAATAAGTGATTGCAGAAGTCTTCACTTCCTTCAAGTCAGTGTTTAGTCGACACTTTTTGACAGCATGGAGCCTGAGTGGATGGATCTCATTCTTCTTTGTAAAACTGCTCAAGCTCTGACAGGGATTGTGAGCAAACAGCTCATTTCAAGTCTGGGCTCTGACTTGATCGCTCCAGAACGTTCACCTTGTTGTCTTTAAACCATTTCTGTGGAGCTTTGGCTGTTTGCTTCGGCTCATTGTCCTTCTGGAAAACAAATCTTCACCAAAGTCAGAGTTCTCCTGCAGACTGCATCAGGTTCTCCTCCAGGATTTCTCTAGACTTTGCTGCATTCATTGACCCTCTACCTTTACAAGCCTTCCAGGCTGCTGCTGAGAAGCATCCCCACATCATGATGCTGCCACCACCGTGCTTCACATCATGATGCTGCTTTGCAATGGGGTTTGTGTGTTTGTGATGATGTGGAGTGTTTGGTGTCGGCCAAACTTAACATCTAGTCTGATGTCAAAAGAACTTCATTTTAAAAGCGTTTTCTTCTCCCACACGCCTCCTGATGAGCTCTAGTCAAAATTTATTATAAATATTTTGATAAATTATCTCACTAGCTGAGTGGCTTGTAGCAGCTTTTGGCTGCACATGTGTTGAATTAAGTCACTGTAAAGGTGGTTTTGCATCATTTGTTTGCATTTTATATGTTTAATTAGTTGACATTATCTTGTAGAAATCTGTTTTTTTTTTGTAAATTCGTGTCAAAAAGTCAGATTAAATGAACCGTGATTCAATGTTGAAAACCAATAAAATGATGAAACGTTTTAGGGAGGCTGAACACTTTTATAGGCGCTGTACATACCAGACATTCTCATGACGCAAACCCTCCCACAGATGTGAAGCAGCCCCTCATTCCTCTGTCTGATGGGAATATTTTTCCTCTCGTTCAGGCTCGAGGTCTGGATCTGTCCCGGGTCCGGGCCTGTGTCGTGGTGGCGGAGGAGAGGCCTCGGATGTCGCTGACTCACTCCTTCTCGAAGCTCTTCAAAGATCTCGGCCTCCACCCGCGATCCGTCAGCACGGCCTTCGGCTGCAGAGTCAACCTGGCCATCTGCCTGCAGGTACAGACAAACTGAACCGCACGTTTCAGACATGCAGAAGACGAAACGTGTAAGAAATAACAACAACGAAGCTAAAGAGAAAATAAACAGTGATGTTATCAGTGAACCTTTGCAGCTGATTCTGACTGTGCAACACTGAAGCTAATCAAAGCTAAAAGTAAACGTCACATAACAGCAAGTGGGTTTGAAGAAGTGATTTATTTATTTCAATTAACCGATCACATGCTCTCTGTTTGTGATTGGCTGCAGGGCACGTCAGGACCGGACCCCACTACTGTGTATGTAGACATGAGGGCGCTGCGCCACGACAGGTACGACCAATCCATCCGTCCATCCGTCACGTTTTCTTGTCCTTCCTCGCTGTGCAACATTTTGACGCTGGTGTGTTTGTGTCCGTCAGGGTTCGGCTGGTGGAGAGAGGTTCTCCTCACAGTCTGCCCCTCATGGAGTCTGGCAAGGTGAGTGGGAATGTGTCAGATCCAGATTTGCATGGTGGTTAAAATATTCACGCCAATACATCGAAATAGATTCAGTTAAACACCGTTTCACCTCCCTGGAACGTTCTGTCTCTGTAGAACCAGTCATTTTTACTGAGCGCTCACCATCAAAAAACAAATTACACAAGACACGAGATGTCAGGACGGCACGCAGATTGAATGACGGCACAATCTGCAGGACTATTTCTGCTCTCGTCCTCCCACATCCAGTGAGTCAAATCAGACGGCAGCTTTGATTCATCCCTTTCTGTCTGAGGACATGTGGGAGAAAAGAGTCACGTCGAGCCTCCAAGACGGTTGTCAGGCACGTTAGCTCGCCCGTTAGTAAATCTGCAGAACACGGAGGCCTGAGAACGTTCTCCACGTTTGGAAATGCTTGCAGATTCGAGGACTGAGGGGGAACAAGGCAGAACTCTTTCTAAAGGTTGCGCCAACACACCCTGCAGCTCACTTCTGCATCCAAACCTAAACCGGCCGGACGTCAGCAGAAACAGATCCAGCTGCTGTCGGGTTACTGTTTAAAGCTGCAGTCGGCAGAAATCTGAAAAGGGCAGAAAAGGAAAAGGGGAAAATCCTGCAGCTCTGGTGTCTGTTTATGCTTCAGACGCTCAAAAAAAAGTCAGATGGAGTCTAGTTCCATCTGCAACCAGCTGAATACAACACACTGGATGGTGATTATGGGTATCTAAAACAAACACTGCCTACCTCAGCTTTAAGCATCACGTTGTCTCATAATGATGCGTTTATTATCTCCAGAAACAAAAAGTCTTTCACTCACATGTTTGTCCTGTTATCACAAGAGAGCTGCTCTTTGTTTTGTCCAGATATGAAGTTATTTACCTCTTGGTTTAGAAATAACCAGCCAGAAAAAAAGAAAAAAAAGCCCTGCGACTACTCATCAAAGGCTGGCAGATGGCAGAGGAGGGAACGATCACAACCTGCAGCAAAGGCCTCGCCCACATCCAGCAGATATAGTCCAGCTTCTATTTACAGCAGGTTTTAAAAAACAACAAATGTTCTGCTGCTTTAAGATGAAACGGACAAACAAGTTGCAGATAACAACAACAACACGCTTGTTTTTGTCGTTGCGCAGAAGTCGACATGAGAAATGATCTGGATTCAACCTCACAAAGGCTGAACGGATCAGAACATCTCTGCAGAAACTCTTTATTTTCCAGATTTTCAGAATAAAAGTGAGCCAACCTTGTAATTCTCTCACTCTCCATCCTCCAGCTCCGTCTGCTCGATAAAGATGTGAAAAAGTCCCAGAAAAGCTTCTTAAAAAGTCACATTTGCAGCCGAGGCAGGCCGAGTCATCCTTCACCAAACACTGAGTCCTGCAGCGGCGCCTCTGATCTGCAGGAACAAATCACATTGTAGTCGTCCGACGGCTGAGCAGCACTTACTTCGCTCTCATTAACGGGCTCTTAGCAACTGGGCGAACTCCATCAGCGAGGTCAGCAGGAGAAGTGACGGCAGAGAGTCTAAATATATACCAGTCGGACGGTTTATGTTAATGGCCTCTATAACTCTGAAGCACGGCGACGTGTCGAAGTTCCGCGTTTGTCAGTTTCCTTGTTGGAAAAGCTGTAAATCTGCTGCGACTTTTTCGTTCCAGATCAACCGTTCACACTCTGAGAGGTGAGGCTGCAAATGTTAAAGGTGCCAGAAAAGGATTTAAACTCCCAGACATTCACTGTTTGTTTGCTTTTTTACAGTTTTAAACAAGGAAATCCTCTTGGTTTGTGCATTCGGAACACGTTAAAGGCAAGTTAACAAGGAAACTGGGTACAGAGATACATTAGTAGGAATTTCCTTCTCCTACTTTAAGCCTCAATACAATTTAACCAGGTGACTTATATAAACATTCAGCCCCTTTACAGATGTCATGAGCGGGAAAATAATCTATAAAAACCAAAACTGTTTCAGTTTCAGGCTGTAAACGTGTTTTTTCCTGCTTTAAAGTTGGACGTTTTAACATGGAGGTCAATGGGGATCGACTTGCTTTTAGAAGCAGCCTCTAGTGGCCATTAGAGGAACTGCATTATTTTGTGCTTCTGAATTTTTTTACTGCTTTTTCCAAATGTCTCAATTACTGAGTATGTTGCTGTTAATTTAATTCAAGCAGTCCCAGTTTTTGTTTTCGTTGAACCGACAATCACTCAGGAGCTGTCATATGAGGCACTGTGGTCTTCGTCTTTTACCGTCGCTACAGAAACCAGATTTAAAAGTCTGCCATGGCGTGAAACGCAGAGGAAATTCAACTCGTTTGGTGTGAACGTTCATTTATCTACAAAAGCCCTGAGAGATGAGACGAGCTGTTAGACGGATGATTCAAAGACCAGTCCTGATCTGCGAGGGGAGCGTTGAGGCGACGGATCTTTTCTCGGAGCTTGACGACTTGTTCCCGGCGTGTTCTTCCCCCACACTGACACACAAAAGGAGGACGTCATGTTTCAGGGCTGGTCATCGATCAGAACGCTGCCGATTTTGACTCACCGCATGTAGGAGGAGAGAGAAAAAAAAAAAAGAAAAACTAACCGGTCCATCGAGGCTTCTGAAGCTTCTTGTTGTGTTTATGGCGGAAACTCTGATTTCTTCCTTTAATGTGCTTCGCGGCTGAAACCTAAAGTGTGACAGCGTGTTAAACGTAAACAGCTGCGTCTATTTGTGGAGTCGCATTCATGCTGGAATCAAAGGCGTAACCATGGCGACCGGTTGTGTTTCAGATCCTGCCTGGAGTTCGCATCATCATCGCCAACCCGGAGACCAAAGGGCCGCTGGGAGACTCGCATCTCGGAGAGGTCGACATACGCCAGCAGCTTCATCTCTTTGTTTTCTGTTCCCATTCTTTCACTTTTATGCAGCTTTTTCCCTCAACAGCAGCTTTCTCTGCCTCTTTTATCTGTAATTTTCTTTTCCGTGGTTTGTTTTCTTTCCTTTATTTGCATCGTTTGTGTTTTATCCTGTTCTTTGTCAGACTTTCTCCTTCTTTTACACATTTTTCGTTTCCTTTCTTTGTCTTCTTTGAGTGTTTTTGACTTCTACAATCTTCCAAAGAAAAAAACAATTTAAAGATTTAATTTCAAATTTGTTCATGAAGCACATTAAAAGCAGCACAAACTAACCAAAGTGCTGCACATGTTATCAGAGAAGCAGCAGAAAATTATGTGCAAACATCAAGACAGAATAAAACTTAAACAAAAGAAGATGGTATAGAACACCAAAACAGATCGTTTTCTAAAATAAAAAATAAATATGAATTATTAGGACTATTAGGAGCAGCCAAAAGCCACTGAACACATACGTACCAAAATGTGACAAGTTCCAACAAACACTGAACTACTTTTTTTCATGCAATATTCATTTATGTGCATTAATTTTCATCTAAACTTTTGCAATAAGCAACATTCATACAAAATGACTACACGATAAATCAGAATTAATCAAACATTGTGAACATTTGCATCGTTACAGCAGCAAAGTTGAGCAAATATTTAGCAAATATCAGCAGAAAATATAAAATATAACATTCCTAAAGGATGGAAATGAAAATTTTGCACATATGAATAATGATTTACAGATTCTTTCATGAGTAGAAATACTGATAGAGAAGTATTAATATTGTACAGATTCTTGTTTATGTAGAAAAATTGATGCTGCAGGGTTTATAAAAGTATTAAATAGTCATAATTCATAGATTAAAATGTGTTAATGCTGCAAAAATGACACTGATTTTTGTTAGAGTTGAACATTTATTATTTGTTTTTATGTTTTAAAGTTGCTTTTTTGTGTTTCTTGATCCATCATCGCTCCTAATTTAGTTGTCTTTTCTATTTCTGTTGACTTGCTGCCTGCCTCCGTTGCAGCTGTGTTTTCATCTCCAGACCGTTCTTCTTGCAGATCTGGGTCCACAGCGCCCACAACGGCAGCGGCTACTACAGCGGCTACGGCGAGGAGGTCCTCCAGTCGGACCACTTCAACTCCAGGCTCAGCTTCGGAGACACTCAGACAGTCTGGGCCAGAACCGGATACCTGGGTTTCCTCCGTCGCACCGAGCTCACCGACGCCAACGGAGGTAAGCTCCGTCTCCTGCACCTCCTCGCTTTGTGCTTCCGCCACAGCGGGACTAACTGTGAGCGTTTGTGTCCGAACAGAGAGACACGACGCCCTGTTCGTGGTCGGAGCTCTGGAGGAGGCCATGGAGCTGAGGGGGATGAGGTACCACCCCATCGACATCGAGACCTCCGTCATCCGCGCGCACAAGAGCATCATGGAGTGGTGGGTGGATGTGACACGGTGGTGGATGAAGCCTAATGGGGCAACATGTGGAACTTTGTTATGATATCAGGATGTAGAGTCGCAAACAAAACACCATCTGTATCACGGCAGCCTTGAGTTTCCAGTGACTCCACTCATCGGAAACACGTGAATCTTTGTCACAAAAAACAACCAAAGTCTTCTGGTTTCCGTCCACAAGCTTCTGGTTGCATCTTTGACTCCTCTTGACAGAATTGGTGCAGTCAAACTAAAGTCGTTGTCTCTTGATGGGTTTCAGTCAGGACTTTGTGGAGACCAGTCTAGAACCTTCATTCCAGCCTGATTGAACCATTTCTTCACCACTTTGAGGTGTTTGGGCTCATTATCTTGTTAAAACATCCAACTGTGTCCAAGATCAACCTTCTGATGGTTTTAGGTTCTCCTGAACAATGTGGAGGTGATCCTCTTTCTTCATTGTTCCATTTACTTTGTATAAGCTCCAGTTCCCCAGAGCATGATGCTGCCACCTCCATGCCTGATGGTAGATTTGGTGTTCTTGGGGTTAAAGGCCTCACCTTCTATATCTAAACAGCTCAGTTTGTGTTCTGTCTGACCAGAACTTTCCTCCAGAAGGCCTTTTCTTTGTCCATGTGATCAGACTTCAGTGGAGCGTTAAGGTTCTGCTTCTAGAGGAAGAACTTCCTTCTCCATCAGCCTCTCAGCTCATGTTGATGTCAGACCCTGTGGACACTGACAGCTGTGTTCCAGCAGCTTCTGGTCCATCCAGAGCTGCTTCCTGCTGGTTCCTGGTTGACTCTGGACCATCCTGACCAGTCGTCTCTCAGCAGCAGCTGATAGTTTGTGTTTCCTTCCTGATGGTGGCAGTAACACAACTGGACCATGAAGTTTATGCTGACAAACTGATGGTTCTGGGCTCTGAAGCTGCTTTTAAATGGCTCCAAGTGACTTTCTGACTGGTTCAAGTCAATGATTTGCTTCTTCAGATCTTTGCTGAGCTCCTTGGACTCCCCACTGTAGAGTTTGTGGCTAATGAGTGGATCAGATGGTGTCAGCAGCTGTAGTCAATCAGAATCACTCATGAGAGGTTAAGAGGCCACAAAGCTCAGAACATTTCTACATCACCAAGACTGATCACTGAAGTTGCTGAATATTTCTATTGTACATCTATTGTATTCATAGTATTCCTCATTAATGAAGAAGCCCAGTTATGGATGACGTGCTGTTTGAATATTTCATGTATATTTTGTCCACATATCAGCCATCAGACCTGAATAATCCACATTTAACGTGCGTTCTGCTGGTTCTGTCCATCAGTGCGGTCTTCCCCTGGACCAACCTGCTGGTGGTGGTGGTGGAGCTGGAGGGCTCCGAGCAGGAAGCCCTGGACCTGGTTCCCATGGTGACCAAGGCGGTGCTGGAGGAGCACTACCTGATCGTGGGCGTCGTCGTGGTGACGGACATCGGCGTCATCCCCATCAACTCGCGCGGCGAGAAACAGCGCATGCACCTCCGCGACGGCTTCTTACAAGACCAGCTAGACCCCATCTACGTGGCCTACAACATGTAGCCTGAGTGTGTTACTGTGTGTGTTACCGTGTGTGTCCGGGTGCGTGTTTGTGTGTGTGTGTGCAGGACGGAGAGAGAGAGAGGGAGCGAGCGAGCATGCGTTTGTATGCTGTGGATATTGCCGTTGTTGTTCATTTATTTCCCAAAATCAAGATGTACTGTATTTTTGAACCTGCATATGGTGTGGTCTTAAATCGTCTGTTTTCTTTAAAGTCGTGTTGTGCCGGTTGGTTGACTGGTTGGTTGATTGGTTGGTTGGTTGGTTGGTTGGTTGGTTGACTGGTTGGTTGGTTGGTTGGTTGGTTGGTTGGTTGGTTGGTTGACTAGTTGGTTGACTAGCTGGTTGGTTGCTGGCCTCGTTGGTTGGTTGGTTGTTTGGTTGGTTGGTTGACTAGTTGGTTGACTAGCTGGTTGGTTGCTGGCCTCGTTGGTTGGTTGGTTGGTTGGTTGGTTGGTTGCTGACCTCGTTGGTTGGTTGGTTGGTTGTTGGCCTCGTTGGTTGGTTGGTTGGTTGTTGGCCTCGTTGGCTGGTTGGTTGGTTGGTTGGTTGTTGGCCTCGTTGGTTGGTTGGTTGGTTGACTAGTTGGTTGGCTGTTTTTTTACACCCCCGCTCAATCTCGTGACCGTTACCAGGAGCTCGTCACTGTAGAAAGCCTTAGAGGGGAACACTGTGTTCGGCCGTCGTAGGAGGTAAAAGTAGAAAAAAAAAATACTAGACTGTATCTGTCATCATGTTTTACTGGTCGGGTCGGAAAAAAGAAAAAAAATCCCAGATTTGTGGTATTATTTCGAAAATTAGAACAGGGGCAGCCAGATTATTGTAAAAACTATAAATATTGTACATAGACATAATAATCTATATGGAGAGGTACCTAAAACACAGTGAGGTGTAGTAGCCCCTATATGCAGCTTTCTCCACCTGCACCCTGTGTGTGTCTGTCAGTGTGTGTGTGTGCGGAGTGTGTTCATCCGTCTGTGTTGATGTGCGACAGGGACGTGTTGTGTAGTTCCGGCGTGAATCGGGCGCCGATGTTCAGACGTTTCTGTGGAGTCCAACCTGTTGTCGGAACCGCAGGAAGAAAACCCACAAAATGAACGTCTGCGTGTTTTCAGCGTCCGAGCTGTGAGAAAAACTACACTGCTGCATCTTTTTCTTTCTCTAGTCACGTTTGAAAGGCAAAAAAAACAAAATACAAAAAAAACCACCACAAATTTAAGTACAATGCAAGTTCTTTATGTATGATTTAAAGCAAAACCTGCACAATAACTGAATCCATTAAAACACAGAACAACTGTGAGAGTTTTCAGTGTCCAAACTATAAGAAAAACTACGAAAAGCCACGTTTGAAAGGTTTGTTGTGATCGTTTTAGCAAAAAAAAACACTACAAATGTAAGTATGATGCAAGTCGTTCTGCAAAATTTAAAGCAAAAATGCAGCAAAACCTTTAACCTGCGGTTGTTTGTGCAGGTTTAAGTGTTTTTATGGAGAAAACTTCAAGCAGAGACCGACTAAAGAACAAGTGTGTTTGTTTTCAGCATCCAAAGTCAAAGAAAAACTCCACTGATGCATCTTTTTCTTAATCTAGACACATTTTTTAGGTTCTTTTTTAACTTCCTGGCCAAAAAAACACCACAAATTTACAGCAAAAGCGCGTTCGTTCTGTAAAATTTAAAGCAAAAATGCAGCAAAACCTTTAACCTGCAGGTTATTTGTGCAGGTTTAAGCATTTTTATGGAGCTGAACCTGTTAAAACTGAAACCAGAAACCCATTAAAAAGCAGGTTTGTGAGTTTTCAGCATCCAGAGTGAAAGAAAATCTGCACTGATGCATCTTTTTCTGACTCTAGCTGCATCTTCGAGGTTCGTTTTTAACTTTCTAGCAGAAAACAAACACCACAAATGTCAGGTAATGCAGGTTCTTTCTGCAAAATCTAATCTTTTAACATGCACAGCGATTGTTTTCGTCATGCCAGTCGGCCAATCTGTTTCTGAACTTCTGGCGGTGAAGCTGTGAAGTTCAGTCCCTAAAGCACCCAAAGCATCTCGTCGAGCAAAGTGCACTACCGTGTGAATACGAAAGAAATATATTATTGATGTTATTTAAAGGGAGTTTAAGGGAAGCTCTGCGTCTCGGATCGAAGCCGGCGCCGTCCAGGTGTTGCTGCAGATCACGTTTACTCGGTTTGGGGAGTTTTGTGTTTTCGTCACATCGACTGCTGGGACTCCTCTGAGGGGGCGCGAGATGATTAATGGGGCAAATAAAAGACAAACAAAATGATGCTGCAGAAACAAAACACGAGTCTTCTGACGTTTATTATGAATTACTGTGAACTGGCGCCTCCTCGTGTGATGTGAGCTCAAACCGAGAAGCGCCGCCGTGCTCGTCGGTCACGTTTTAACGCGGTCCAGTCGAGTACATGCAGACGTAGCTGCAGGAACATCTGGAGGCTGTCGGGGGACAAAAAGGGAACTCCAGATAAAGTTTACATTGAAAAGCTCCTTTTGTAGCAATAATCCCAGAGGATGCTCTTTACTGCAGGACTCTTGCGGGTGCATAGCGCACAGCTGAGGTCATCAGCAAACAGCAAAAACCAGCTGTGGAGCTCCTGCTCTATTCACCAGGTTTCCTGATTGTGTCCTCTGATTATCACCGTCTCTCTAATGTGAGGCTGTGCTGCTGCATCACAACAAAACACAAGTATTTAATCAGTTAAATGTGTTTATTACTCAAATTCTAGTCTACGTTTTTAACCCTCTGAACTCTGAAGTGGTTTCTGGGTGTTTTTCTCTCACTGTGGGTTCTTTTTTCACGGCAATATAAAATCCTGAGCTTCTGTTTAAACAGAACAACCATGATGAGAAGGAAAGAGGACTCAGAACTGTATTTTTTTTGCAGTACGACAGTGAAAACACCATAAATCATCAAAAAAGAAAAACTAAACTTGACCTTTTTCAGATTATTTATTATGCAAAAACTGTCCAACATTTTTCCAAGATGCCCAAGATGTTACAAAAACATTAAATTATAAATAATAGCTCCACATACGATACATATTGAACTACCTGTGTTTTTAACTATAACACAGCCTGCAGTTCAGCCGAAAACTCTTTAAATTTTTGCCTCCTCGCCGTTGGTCACAGTTGAGTCACTAATGGCTTCACAGTTGCCCTGAGGAGAGCAGAATATTTCATTTTTTGTAGAATACGTTTAGTGTAAACCGTTTATTTTTTAGAGATTTTTTTTAAATTAAGCTGTAGAATAAAATGAGTTTTATTCTAGAGTTGGTCGACGATTACTTCAAGGACCGTCGGAAAGTTGAAAATCTGACGCTTGTTTCTGTTTTTACAATTTCTTGCACTAATAAATGATGTAATTTTGCAGATTTTTTTATAAAGATAACACGACTTGTAAACCCGCTGGCAGGTTTTAGGGTTCAGAGGGTTAATGTGAACGTTTCATCACATCTCTGTGATTTTTATCCAAAACAACAAACAGCAGCGAACACTTTGTGCTGCTCCTGATTAAAATATTAAACGTCTTTTTCGTGTATTTTTACTGACTAGGACAAACTATTGTGTCCTTTTATCAGTGCGATTGAACCCATCACCAAGAACTGCTGATAACATTCAGTCTTGTGCAGAAACTTAAACACATCAGTGACTTTTTAGCAGATTTATTAGATTTAAAGATGCAGGAACACGATGCACAACCTCTGAAATCTGCAGTCTGTCAGCTCGATAAATCTTCATCATCTTCCCTCACAAGGGTGTGACCATGAAAAACAAACAGTTTTATTCACCAGCTGCCACCTTGTGGAGGTTCTAGTGTCCTGCAGTGCATCAGGCAGCTTTGTGCAGCTTCCTGGTTCATTTATCTCAATATTTAAATACGAGTCGCTGCAGAACAAGAAGATGAATCATCTGAAATAATGAATCCTGCAGCAAAGTGTCTATGAGGAGGATCTATTTCATTCAAACCCCAAAGAAAAATGCTGTTTTTTCACCAGGAATCCTGAGTAAAGTCCATCCTCTGGGCCTCGGTGCAGCAGCTCCCACCTTTAATGTGCACCGAGTCAGATGTAGTGAAGTTCTATCAGATTATAACGTAGATACTTAAAATATATGAAAAGTTTTATCCCAAACTGTGAATTCTGGGAATCGCTGCGACCTTCTCCTGCAGGAGGTGGCGTTAAAAGAAAGAAAACCTTTTTATTCAGAGAGTTATTTAGAAGAAAAAAACAAGCCGTCGTTGGTTTCCATCGCTGTGTGACGTCATCTCATCGCTCTTCTTCTTTGGTTTCGTTTTGTTTTTCTCTCTTCACGTGTTTAATCAAAAGAAGAAGAAGAAGAAAAAAAAATCTTTATGCATATCAGGAGTTGCTTAGCGCTTGTTTGGCTAACTTTGGGTTCGTTGGTAGCAGCGTAGCGGTCGTGTTTCAGTCCCTGAGGGAGTGTGTGTGTGTGTGTGTGTGTGTGTGTGTGTGTGTGTGAGGTGGAGGATGTTGATGAAGAAGGATTTCCCATCAGAAACCCAAAGGAGGACTGGTGTGTGTGTGTGTGTTCGGGGCTGGATGGGAGAGAGACTGCATGGTGTGTGTGTGAGTGTGTGTGAGTGTGTGTGTGTATATTGTATGTAAATAGTGTTGATTTTGTACGGTACAAGTGTGTGTGACTTGTTTTGTACACATGATAAAAAGATTAAATGACACTTTTATAAGAGCCTGCTACTGGCTCACCGTCACACTATACAGTGCAATAAAGTGCTTTGATTGGCTAAAACTCAGACTGGTCGTCCTTTATTTCCTGTTTTGTTTCGACTTTCATGTTTCTGTACTGT